TACTCCTCCACTGAATTCTACATTGTCCAGACAGAATCCTCACCATTCATCTCAGGTCACACAACAGCACAGAAGCAAAAATAAAACCCCAGGTTGTCTGATTCCTCATCCAGAACACGTCCCAGGAGGTGATGAGAGGTGAGAAATGCCAAGACCCATGCCAGGAGGGAGCTTGTTCAGAGATGGGAGATGATGTGGAACAGGTATCCAGGGCCAAACGGTGCAAACTGAGATGACAGCACCTCCAGCTCAGAGTGTAAAGAGGTCTGAGATAACCCAGGCAACTGTGTCAGAGAGGGCAGGGAGTGGAATTACAGATCAGGATATTCCTCCTGTTCTTTCTTGCAGCCAGCTGAGAGACAGAGAGGGATATCTGTAGAAAAAGGTGCCCAGGTGAAACACCCATCTAGGTGCCCAGGTGAAAGATGGTGGCAGAGGTGACCAAGAAGCCAAATAAGAAGCACAGAAGGACGGGTGACTGAGGACACTGGAGACAGAGAGGATGGGGGTGTTGCTGATAGGAAGCTTTGGTGAAGAAGAGCAGATACCCATCAAGAAATTCAGACACTTCTCAACTTGCCTGGGCACTAGATCTTTGCCAAGCACGACTGCAGTCACAAACTCTTTTGAATACTCCATGGCGTCCTCACTGGAAGAGAAACAGGACCAAGAAGAAGCAAACAGTGTTTCAGCAGCAGCAAACTGCCCTCCAGCCATCCCCCAATTGGCCACTGGCATCAGAGAAGGTACTGAATCATGAACCAGGGGCACAAAAACCACCAGCCAAGCTGCTCAAGGCTTTGGGGACTTCACCTTGATGAAGAAAAACCTGAGAGCAACATCCCAATGCCTCCAACAACGTTACTCTGCATGAACCAGGGGCACAAAAACCACCAGCCAAGCTGCTCAAGGCTTTGGGGACTTCACCTTGCTGAAGAAAAGCTACATCCCAATGCCTCCAACAACATTACTCTGCACAGGGCTCTGAATATGCTTGGAAAAGGAAGAGTTTGAACTCAATGCCTTGTTTTCCACTAGCTTAGGAATGGCCAGGACAGCAGAAAGGAAGAAGATCTCCCATGCTCCTGAGGCTACTTCCCAAAGCACCAAGATGGTCACGTTCTGCAGCAGCCTAAGCACCAAGACAAGAGGGAATTAAGGCTTCCAACTCTATGAGCTGGGTTCTGCAATCAGCTGCCTTCCCAGAGAGGTTCTGAACCAGTCCCCAGAGGCTGCACCACTGACCTAGAGATGATCCTGGGCCTGGGACACAGCCCAAGAAACGTGTGGCAGTCAGAAGCACCTCCTTGAAAGAGCTGAGGTCCAGCTCCAGCTATTGAGGGGCCTCAGGGGTGGAAGCTCTGAGCAGAAAGCTCCAAAACTCTCCCAAAACATTCTACAGAGCAGCTCTTCCCTAGCTGCTTATGCCAAGTCAGGCTCATGAGCAGGATGGTTTAAAACCCCTGACTGCTCCTGGAGCATGATCCAGAAACTATCACAAGAAGCTTCTGATTATCCAGAGGTGCTTTCCAGTGCCCCAAGGATGCCTGTCCCAGCTAGAAAGACCTTCTCTCACTTGCAGAGCCATCAAGTGGGATGGTTTTGTTTGGCTGCCATGTAAATAATGCCAAGTCAGGCTCATGAGCAGGATGGTTTAAAACCCCTGACTGCTCCTGGAGCATGATCCAGAAACTATCACAAGAAGCTTCTGATTATCCAGAGGTGCTTTCCAGTGCCCCAAGGATGCCTGTCCCAGCTAGAAAGACCTTCTCTCACTTGCAGAGCCATCAAGTGGGATGGTTTTGTTTGGCTGCCATGTAAATAACATGTCCAGCAGCTCTGCTCCAGTTTACAGTGGGAGGAACCCACCACACCTCTCCTCAGAGATCTCCAAGGCAGCCACCCCAGATCCCCCTTCTAGCCAAAGGGAGAGAAACAGGCAACCAAGAAACACAATCCCTCTGACCTATTTGAGCCACCCACTTTAGAGTGACAGAAATCACCCCACTCCTAGAAGCTCCAGTTTCTCTGTCAGCTCCAAAAGGAGTCCAAACAACTAGGTCAACTGATGGAGACATCTCCAGTGGGTCAAACTTCTCCCTTACTGTACATCTGTACCCAGCAGATGGGGAGAGGACACGGTGGCACCGTGCAGAGAGCAAGGAGATGACTCCCTGTCTACTCCCCCTGCACTTCCCACCACTCAGGGTGAGATTAGAGCTATAGCCACAGTCAGCTAAGTCATAAACCACAATATTTGGGCGAGTGGCCACCTACCACCACAACCTAAACTCCAAACTACAACCCAGAGCCCTCTAGAGAAACCCTTCTCCATTTTTCAGCATGCTTCTCAGGGCAGAGATTTGGCTTTTGCTGCTCCTCAGGGCATCAGGAGTTGGATCTGACCCAGCTACAGCCACACCACCCCTTTTCTCATCAGTTTTCCTGCCCCCAAACCTACCTCAGCAGCCCCCCAGGGGGGGAGTAGGCAAAGCACTTGAGGGAGGGGTACTGTGGGCGCAGGAGGAAGGACAGGATGGCAGCAGTGCCAGCCCCCAGGGAGTGACCCACCACGATCAGGCCATAGTGTTTCGTTCCTCTCCCCTGAAAAGCAACACAAATAAACCCATCAAATGGAGGCCAGACTCCAAGTTAAGTCCCCAAATCCCTGGGCTCCCAGCAGAGGGGTTCTCCCCTCCTCGCTCGGGGTGTTGCTTGGGGTTCCTCTGGTCCTGCTCCAGCAGGTCCCTGGATCTGCTGGGGTGACTCCAGAGCTGGACAAATTGCTCCAGGAGAGGTCTCACCAGAGTAGAGAAGAGGAATAAAGCACCATCTAAAGAAGTCTGCTGTGGATCTGTCTGTACATCCACCAAACATCACCAGGCAGATGCTTCAGGGCTGACAACACAAATTGCAGGGAACCAGGGAGGCTTTTATCCTGTTTTTCCTCCTCTCTTGACCTCTTGCTAACCCCCTCATGGGCACTGCCCAGGCCAAGCCCTCTTTGGGCAGGAGGAAAGGATAGCTGTGTGACAGCAGGGAATCAGTCAGCTCCAGAATTCCATCCCCAAGGGGGACATGTGGGTTATTACTGACACAGAGACTGGAGCAAGCTGCTTCCTAACACCTCTCTTGGGTTCTCTGAGAGCTTTCCAGCCCAAGAAATGTGCACACCCAGCCAGCCAGCATGGCATCCTGTAGCTGTCTCCAAAGAGAATCTCCACAGAGATAGGATTTTAGTTCCTCTTGATTTGGTTTTAATGTTCCCTGGCCTGCACTGCCACCAAATGGGACTTTCTGCCTGAGAAATAAAATATAATAAAATCAGGAGCTCTGCAGTATTGGGGGCTTCAAAATAAGAAAAG